GGAATCCATACTCTGGTCTCAAGAGACCAAGTCAATCATTTCGGATCTAACAGCATCCAAAAGCATGTTGCTAGAGGAGGAGTACAGTGAGAAGTGCTTGGTACCCACAGTGATGTTCAGTGGTAGTAAAGCTTTTATATAGGAATGAATGAGTGCTAAAGGTGTGAGGGAGTTGTACTTTATCAATGCTGGCATGAATTTACACACTACTGTGTGATGTAATACAAAAACTTTAAATAGAAGATGCTACCCTCCCTCCATTCCCTGCATTATTGGGCATTTTTTCAGCATGACAATGAAGACATTCATTCTCCCAAGGTGAAAATCCTTTAGTGGACATGTATTTCACTCAATCTTAACGCTCTTGAGCAGCTGTGGGGGATTCTGTAGAGACGAGCTGAGCAACACTCCCCATTAAAGACCAGGGCATTTAAGGAGGTCGTCCTCCAGGAGTTAAACAGCACAGATGTGAAAATTTGTCATGAACTTGTACACTCAGTGCCAAGAAGGGTCAGAGCAGTATACTTGCTATAAGTGCTGGAGGACATACTAAGTACTAGAATATTATACATTTTCTGAATTAAATCTAGGGTGTACTCATTTCTGCAATCCTTCATTTAAACAAAATTGGCTAATTTACTTATTTTACAGAAATTATTGGCATATATTATGTTGTTTTTATTAAGAATATGTTTAATATGTTTCAATCACATTTTAGAGTGGCCTTTTATTGTGGCCAGCCTAAGGCACACCTGTGCAATAATCATGCTGTCTAATCAGCATCTTGATATGCTACACCTGTGAGGTGGATGGATTATCTCGGCAAAGGAGAAGTGCTCACTAACACAGATTTAGACAGATTTGTGAACAATATTTGAGAGAAATAGGCCTTTTGTGTACATAGAAAAAGTCTTAGATCTTTGAGTTCAGCTCATGAAAAATGGGGGCAAAAACAAAAGTGTTGCGTTTTTAATTTTGTTCAGTGTATATTGACTCAAGAATTTATCTTTTAACCCTGCTGGGGGGGAAAACAGTACAATACAATACAACTACAATAAAAATGTTTTGTTTTTTTATGATTTTTGTATTTATAAAATAATGCTGGCTAAGTTTAATAACAGTAAGACACTGATAGAGCACGTGTTTATATTGTTGTGTATCTTCACATATATATTAGGTATTTATTTATTTTTCCCTGATGGAGAGTGTGCCGCTAGTGCATGGAAACACATGACGTAACGCAGCAAGGTAAATCCACATCCATGCGCTCTGACGCAATTGCCCTTTTTAGGAGACATTCGTCATTCAGATGATTACAAGTGAATGCCTGTTGCTGCACTGATTGAAAAGTGCATGGGTGGAACTGGAATATCAACATCTGAACCAGGATAAATCCATGGCAAAATACCATTTCATTTGGAGATATTTGGAATGAACGCAAATGAACAAAACTGCATCTCTGGAGGCGATATCTCCAGTTCTATCAGGTGAGTAATTAGGATTTAGGTCAATGAATTCGCATGTTTTAACCATATATCTAATCATATGTAGGCTAGAAACGCAATATTTACCATCTTTTCTAGTTTCATTTACCGCATCTTTCTTCTTTTTCTCTCTCCACTATTCAGCCAGGTCGAGATGCAGATTTCCAAAAGCCCTTTTATCGCCACTGTCAATGCAGTCACATCGAGACAAGAGCTGCGCTGGATAATCGAGCCGGTGATGCCCAGTGAGAGTCTGGAGCAGACCAGTGAACCTACAGCAGCTCAGAGAGAAAGCTTCAAAAGAAATATACAGGTAAAATACAACATATTATTATTTCTGTATAGACTTATGCATAAAATAAACTCAGAATGTAAAATGTAAATGTTTTGGTTAATACATATTATTATATGTCATTAATAAATAATACATTATTACAGTATATACAAAATATGCTTAACAAAATGAAAAACTATCTTAATTAGATGGTTTCTGCCCGAAGGAGTGTTAAACAGCTAGCAAACTATAATGATATTGATATAGTGAATTCACACAAAATATTCTTATTTAAGATGTTTAAACCAAAATGCAATATATATGATTGTGTTAAACTTGCACTGAGATACAGTGCTTGTGACAACTAGTCTCCTCTCTCTCTCTCTCTCTAACTGCATTTATCTTTAAAAAGTAACAGATGAATAAAGTAAATATATTACTCAGAATACCATTATATTGATTCATTATTAGCTCACTCCAGATGAAGAGGAGAAGATATTACGGAGAAGAGAACGCAACAAAATGGCAGCTGCCAAATGCCGCAACCGCAGACGAGAACTTATTGACCTTCTTCAGGAGGTGAATAATAGGGCTGCACTGCCATTTTTATTTTCATATTGTGTTCAGGGTGGTGCACCTTTCTGATACATCTTGTTTGTCCAGGTTTAACTTGAGACTTCTGTAATTGTACAAAGAGTCTGTTAAGAATGACATAAGATGAATGAATCATCCAAGTATTAACAACACATAAATTAATGTTTCCATATAGTTTCAATTGGGAAATCGAAACAAGAATTCCACTGGACAGTCACACTCTCAAAAACAAAGGTTGTTAATTGGCATCAGTGTTTCCGTGAACCTTCAAGGAATAATCCATCCAAAAATGAAAATGAGCATTTACTCACCCTCAGGTCATACAAGATGTAGATGAGTTTGTTTCTTCATCTGAACAGATTTGGAGAAATGTAGCATTACATCACTTGCTCACTGATGGATCCTCTGTAGTGAATGGGTGCCATCAGAATAAGAGTCCAAACTGATAAAAACATCACAGTAATCCACAAGTAATCCACATGACTCCAGTCCATCAATTAACATCTTGTGAAGTGAAAAACTGCATGTTTGTATAAACAAATCCATCATTAAGACATTTTTTACTTCAATCTATTGCTTTCAGCTAGCTGTCCATTCAGTGAAAAAGTCGTCTCGTCTGAATCAGGAGAGACATATGCACAGATCAAGCACCATTTACAAGCAAAAACAATCCAAAACAGTACTAAACAAATTAATGAATTTTGATATGAGAGGACAGGGGATAAACTTTTTCATTGGAGGGAAAGCAATATTATGGATTATAGACAGGCCAGAAACTGCGGTTTAAAGTTACTACGCTCTAATGATGGACTTGTTTCTTACAAACATGCACCTTTTTGCTTAAGATGTTAACCGATGGACTGGAGTTGTGTGGCTTTATCAGGAGTTATCAGCTGTTTGGACTCTCATTCTGACGGCACCCATTCACTGCAGAGGACCCAATGGTGAGAAAGTGATGTACTGTAATGCAGCTGCCAAATGCCGCAACCGCAGACGAGAACTTATTGACCTTCTTCAGGAGGTGAATAATAGGGCTGCACTGCCATTTTTATTTTCATATTGTGTTCAGGGTGGTGCACCTTTCTGATACATCTTGTTTGTCCAGGTTTAACTTGAGACTTCTGTAATTGTACAAAGAGTCTGTTAAGAATGACATAAGATGAATGAATCATCCAAGTATTAACAACACATAAATTAATGTTTCCATATAGTTTCAATTGGGAAATCGAAACAAGAATTCCACTGGACAGTCACACTCTCAAAAACAAAGGTTGTTAATTGGCATCAGTGTTTCCGTGAACCTTCAAGGAATAATCCATCCAAAAATGAAAATGAGCATTTACTCACCCTCAGGTCATACAAGATGTAGATGAGTTTGTTTCTTCATCTGAACAGATTTGGAGAAATGTAGCATTACATCACTTGCTCACTGATGGATCCTCTGTAGTGAATGGGTGCCATCAGAATAAGAGTCCAAACTGATAAAAACATCACAGTAATCCACAAGTAATCCACATGACTCCAGTCCATCAATTAACATCTTGTGAAGTGAAAAACTGCATGTTTGTATAAACAAATCCATCATTAAGACATTTTTTACTTCAATCTATTGCTTTCAGCTAGCTGTCCATTCAGTGAAAAAGTCGTCTCGTCTGAATCAGGAGAGACATATGCACAGATCAAGCACCATTTACAAGCAAAAACAATCCAAAACAGTACTAAACAAATTAATGAATTTTGATATGAGAGGACAGGGGATAAACTTTTTCATTGGAGGGAAAGCAATATTATGGATTATAGACAGGCCAGAAACTGCGGTTTAAAGTTACTACGCTCTAATGATGGACTTGTTTCTTACAAACATGCACCTTTTTGCTTAAGATGTTAACCGATGGACTGGAGTTGTGTGGCTTTATCAGGAGTTATCAGCTGTTTGGACTCTCATTCTGACGGCACCCATTCACTGCAGAGGACCCAATGGTGAGAAAGTGATGTACTGTAATGCTAAATTTCTCCAAATCTATTCTGATGAAGAAACAAACTCATCTACGTCTTGGATGGCCTGAGAGTGAGCACATTTTTGAATGAACTATTCCTTCATTTAAACTTTCCAATGCACAAAAGGTTCTTTAGTGGGAAAATATTCTTAAGAATATTAAAATGTTCTTTAGACTCAAAAGAGGACGATATCTGCTTCGTCATGCCTGGAGCTGATCCGTAGGCCTACTGGTTGCTGAGGAAATACATTTCTGTCACACACTTGAGGTATTCGGCCAATCACAACGCACTGGATAGCTGGCCAATCACAGCACACCTTGTTTTTCAGCCCGATGAGCTTTGTAAAAATCGATGCGTTTCAGAAAGGCGGGGCATAGAGGAGAAACAATAATGTACAGTATGTGGAAAATAATGTGTTTTTTGAACCTTAAACCGCATAAACACATTTCATTACACCAAATACACAAAATAATGTTCTTTTAGCAACATCATATGACCCCTTTAAAGGTTCTTTAGGGAACCTAAAATGGATCTTCTATGTTATTGCTATGAAAACCTCCTTGTGCACCCTTTATTTTTAAGAATGCAGTACACTCTGCTTCGGGGAATCAGTTACATAATTACCAGCATCACATGCTAATGGGATCCAGCTGTGAATTTGTTTTCAGGAGACTGAGCGCCTGCACATGGAGCAGGTCGTGATGCAGAGGCAGGTGAGCCTCCTGCAACAGGAGAAAGAGCAGCTGAAAATGCTTCTGGCATCCCATGCATCCATCTGCACACTGGCACAGGACAAATCTCATTCCTTGGACACTTTTATGTCAGGAGAGCCCCTGCCATCCAAAATTTCCCTCACAATAAAACAGGAACCTCTGGATGACGTAAGTGGGTCTGGACATTTGGTGCTCCAACAGACAGAGAACGACTGAATTACACTAAATTCAATGAAGACGATGACGCACCAGCGGTTTTTATTTAATATCTTTGTAAATACCTCATTACCACTACTAAAGAGACATTCTGTGTTCAACATCCAACTTTTCCTGTGGTAAGAAACCAATTGCAAATGAAAGTGAAATCAAGTCTGGTGCTCTGTTATAATTATTTTGTACCTGTTCCCATGTAGTGACCGTATCTATTATAACTGTCTTTGAAATAGCAATATTTTTTAACAATAGCTGTAAATGAGTGGTGTTTTTAATTCTGGTATGTCTAATTCTAAATGCACTGACCTTATATGTTTAACAAATACATAAAAAGGGCTCGACAATAAGAAAAGAACAGCCTGAACATATTGAACATTATTGTGAATTGTTAAATTAAATAAAGTTATCAAAGTAATGTTATCTAGTTGGCTTTAAAGTTAATCATTTGCAATCATTTGGAAGCATAATTTAGTCTTTGAAATAGCAATATTTTTTAACAATAGCTGTAAATGAGTGGTGTTTTTAATTCTGGTATGTCTAATTCTAAATGCACTGACCTTATATGTTTAACAAATACATAAAAAGGGCTCGACAATAAGAAAAGAACAGCCTGAACATATTGAACATTATTGTGAATTGTTAAATTAGTTAAATAAGTTACCAAAGTAATGTTATCTAGCTGGCTTTAAAGTTAATCATTTGCAATCATTTGGAAGCATAATTTAGGATCTTATGAAAAAATTTATCAACCAAATAAAATGGTTCTGTGGCACTCCTGTGAAAACATCCTATTTGGAACCCTTTTTTTAAAAAAAAGTGTGTACTCTGCAAGTGCATCTGTGTGAATTTGTGGGGATAATAAATAAATACAAAGTAATTCATTTCTTTATTTAAATAAATAAATACATTTACAAAATATCTCCATTTGTGAAGGGTTTGGAAAACATGAGTAAATGATGATGCAATTTCCATTTTTGGGTGAATTATCCCTTTACGCAGTACGCTTAAGAGTTACATGCAGCAAGATACAACATGCCCCAAAGCATGCAATAAAAGGAGGATATTTTGACATCTGCACAGGAGTGGCAATGCACGAAGAGCCCCCCTTCCTCATCCCGTTATAAACGGAGGAGGATTTCCACTCCGCTGTGGGCATGAGTTCCTGTTTGGGAGTTGGGAATCTGACTTTCAATTCACAGAGGCCTTTGCATTTGCTATTTAAAGGTCACAGGATATTGTGAAAAATCCCCAAACTTTTAATAGCTTTCTTCAGGTGTGAAATAGGAAAAATGGTGTTAGGTGTCCGGCGTTCACACAGAGAAGAAACCTTGACACGCATTTCCTTTTAAAAACAGACACAGTATGTTGCTCAATCAGTAAGATGGATATCTACCACTATATATAGTATGTCACTTGGTAAGAAGGAAGAAGAGAACTTCAGTAAATGTGTCTTGTAAACCTGTCTTGTAAACGCTATTGCATTTTTTCCATTGTTATATTGATTATCTTTTGATTTTTAAGATTTTTTGAATTTTAAATTTAGAAGCAATGTAACAGAAATAAGAAGAAAAAAAGCCTTGACTGAAACTTGGGCAAACTACCACACATCTCCGATCTTTTATCTCAACAAAGGGATCAAGACAAAAGTGAAAGAAATGTAAGAAATGTAAACACACCGATTCCTAAGTAATTGGACCTTTGCCACAGTTAGAAATGCATGAAAGGCAATTCATTACATAACAAAAAGTTACATTAATTTATATACACATATATATACATACACACTGTATATACAGTGTATATATATATATATAATGTATATTTTAAATAAATATATTTAATATATAAACATAACATATGTTTCTGAAATATATACATGCATGTGTGTGTATTTATATATACATAATAAATATACACAACACATAAATATATTATCTAAAAAACCTTTATTTTGGATGCGATTAATCGCGATTAATCGTTTGACAGCACTAATTACACACACACACACACACACACACACGCACAATTTCGAAAGTATAACTTTTCTGTTGTACATGTGATGAGTCACAAAATAAAGGTTCTTTATTGCCATAGATGGTTAGAAACTTTAACATCCATGGAACATTGCAATTAGAAAAAAACGTTCCTCAT